GATCACAGACCTAAATATTAAAGCACAAACACTCAATCTGATGGAAAAGAGAACAGGTAGCCCTGGTGAAGACATTGGTGTAGGCAAAGACTTCCTGAACAAAACACCGATTGCGTGGGAACTATCACGAAGAATCAACAACTGGGATCTCATCTTATTAAAAAGCTTTTGATTAGCAAGAGAAACCCCAAACACAGCGGAGACAACCCAATCTATGGGAAAAAAAATTAGCCAGTTGTTCCTCAGACAAAAGACTACCATCTAGGATATACAAAGAAAAAACTCAGACCTCCCAAATTTAAAGACCCCATCCAAACATGGGCATCTAAAAATCAAGACACACTTCTCAGATGAAGAAATACAAATGGAAAATAAATATATGAAAAAATGGCTATTATCAAGAAACCAAGGGGCCGGGGAGATGGCTCAGTGGAATAAGCACTTCCCTGGCAAGCGCAAGGGTCTGAGTTCAATCCCCGGTTCTGAAAAAAGAAAGAAAGAAAGAAAGAAAGAAAGAAAGAAAGAAAGAAAGAAAGAAAGAAAGAAAGAAAGAAAGAAAGAAAAAGAAAAAGAAAACAGGGCTAGCCTGATAGCTCAGCAGACTAAAGCATCTGCTTATGCAGAGCTCAGCAGCCGGGGTTCAGTCCCCAAGCCTGCCATGCTGGCCTCTTCTCCAGGGCATGCTAAAACAGTAATTGAGACTGGGTGTGGTGGTGCGCGACTATAATCCCAGCATTTGGGAGGCTGAAAACAGGAGAATTACTATGAGTCTAGTCTATGTAGTGAGACCCTGTAGACCCTGTACTAAATACAAAAGAAGAAAAAAAGAAACCAACTGTTATGGTTTCTGTCTAGGTGCCCCCTACACACACACTAGCCTCATGCAGTCACGGGGCAGACTGCCAGTGCTGGTGTTACTGATGAGTGGGGCACCCACCCTGGGACAGATAGCCTGAACAGAGTGTAAGGAAAGGAGAGCGGCTTGCCTCGCCTCCTGTTGCCATGACTTCTCCCTTTTTCCTCTGCTCTTTGCTGCCTTCCACTGCCATGAACTGCTGCCCTCTGCCATGTGCCACTCTGCCTTGGAGCCAGCGGAGTATAGACTAAAACCTCCACTAACTGTGAGCTGAATAAGCCTTTCCTTCCTTTATTTTTGGCATCAGGTATTTTGTCCCAGAAATGAGAGAAAAGCAACAGAGATACCAACAAATAAAAACTGCTGGTGGGGTTGCAGGGCAAAAGGAACCCTTCTCCACTGCTGGTGTGAGTGTAGACCGGTGCAACCGCTGTGGAGATCAGTGTGAAGATTCCTCAAAACACTAGGGCTAGAGGTCCCATTGGACCCAGCTATGGCCCTACTTCATGTCTTTCCCAAAGAGCTAAAAGCATCATGCACAATGATACATGCACACCCAGGTTTAAGCAGCACAATTCGTAATAGCTTATCTTGGGAATGGTCCAGATGCCACCAGCCAGTGAACTGACAAAAGACAGTGTGGTTGGGTTTTTTGCGCAACACACTCATCCTTAAAGAAGGCTAAGCTTGAGCCATTTCTAGGCCAGTGGAGGCATCTTGAAGCACAAGCTTAAGTGAAATTAATCAGAGTCACAGATAAATGCAACTTTGCTTCTCTAGTGTGAGAAAGTGAAAACATAGCAAAGACCCAAATGGATGATAGGCACTGTGAAGTAAGAAGACCATGTTCAAAGGGGAAGGGGACTAGCAGGAGGCAGGGGAGAGGAGGAACAAGAAGAGAGGGCGGGATGGAAACCTAGCTCGTGTGACTAGGGAGGGGAGGAGGGGAGGAAGGGCTGGAGGGAGGGGCTTGGGGAGAGAAGACCCAGGTCATGTCACGTGCAGGGACACATTCCTTACGATGAACGTGAACATTGTGCATACCAAAAATGTTCCAATAAAATCAATTTTTTAAAAATTATACAGGTCAGGGAAGAAGCAGACTCCTCTGACCTCCCGCTTCCTACTTATTTACCTGCACAGAGAAGTGGGCATGATCACCTGGCCGATCAGTTCAGATCTTGGCTCTGCCACCAGACCCTGGCATGGGTGCTGGAGAGGCACTGCTTTCAAACATGCATGCTTGGCCCCAGTCCCCACACCTCCTCTCTTGGGGGCAGGTAAGGCCACGGTGGCACCCAGACAGACCACGCTCAGCTTAGCCCGCGGCCTGCACTCTGGCACTGGAGTGCTCCACTCCCTCCTCGTCGTACCCTGCAGGCCTAGCAGGCGCCTGAAGCACCTGAGCAGGCAGCCCAGGCCGTGTGAGCGGTGCTCCCTCTCTGCGAGGGCAGCATGCCTCCCTTCTCTGTGCATCCAGGGCCAGGAGGCCCACGAAGGGCCCCTTGCTGCCTTTTGCCCCTTTTCTAAGAACTGGCTGTCTATGTTTCCTTGCCACTTCATCAGGGTTCTCTTTGTAGTCTTGGCACTGAACTGTTATGTGGGGAGTCAGCTCTGTACTCACAGCTTCTACCTGCAACTAAGTGCAGGTCAAAAGTCTGAGAAGCAAAGCATGGTCTTGCACACCTGTAACCCCAGCACTCTGGGGGGCTGAGGCACGATGATGGTAAACTCCAGCCCAGCTTGGGTGGTTAGCAGCTTACTAGGACACTGACCCAAAAGTTAAAATAAAAATATGAGCGATGTAGCTCAGTATAAAGGCCCTGGGATTGATCCCCAGTACCGTACCACTGAAAAACAATTTTTTTAAATAAAAATTGTATCTGAGATTGGCTCCTCCCCCTGCTTTGGTGGGACCAGGAGACCAAAGGGAATGCAAGCTGCACAGCAGGCCCAACTGGAAGACACACTCCAGACAGCTGAAACAAGCAAAGGTGAAAGATCAGAGGCGACACTGACTATAAGAACCAACAGGTTGGGGCTGGGGAGATGGCTCAGTAGAATAAGCGCTTGCCTGGCAAGCACAAGGGCCTGAGTTCAATCCCCAGTTCCGCAAAAGAAAGAAAGAACCAACAGGTGGTGGGTCAGGTGAACTGGCACTGCACTTGCCGGCAAAGACACACAAAAAGAAGCAGGCAGGCAGCCGGGGCCACGCCTTTGCTTTGCTTTTATTTTTATCTTTCCCTTTTTTCTTTTCTTTCTTTTTTTTTTTTTTTTTTTTTTTTTTTTTTTTTTTTTTTTTTTTTTGGTCTTATTTTCCTTCTTCTCTTCTTATTCTCTAGTTTCCCAAGGATCTGATCATCCACCCTCCAGCCCTGCTTCTACTTCCCTTTCAGTCATCTTTGTTTTAGACACTCTCCTCCTTAAATTTTCCCATCACAGGATAAAGTCACTCTCCTAAGAGGAGACACGTGGCATACAAGCTCCCAATTTAAGACTGTTTGTCATGTAACTGTAGATTTTGCTTCTCTGGTTAATTAAAATTAATAGTTACCAGGTTTCTCGGGTTCTAAACTGTTTGACGCTATTTTTATTGCTAACTTTACTGTGTTGGATTGGCTGTCATATCTGTTTCAACCAGTTGTTCTCACTTCTGCACCGGTGCTGGGAAGCACTGGGATGCTGAGCACCCCACAACCCGCCCGGGGGGCTCAGTACGGAGCCACGCAGATGCCAGCGCCTCACTCCTACTTAACCGGAAAGGTGAGATCTTGGGACAGACACAAACAAGGAGCCTCCAGCACACAGGAGACCTCCCTGAAGAACAGACTTCCTAGAAAGGCCTGGATACTAGTGATATAGCTTCGTACTCCAAAAACTTCCAAGGATCAACACAGAAAACAAAATAAAAAATTTAAAATAGAAAATGATAAGACACAGAAGCAAAATGCAATTTCAAACCTCCAAACTACCCAAGAGATACCAAGATAGAGGAAAATGGAAGACACATGCCTTAAATTTCCGAAATGAGAGAAGTAAAGAAAGCCATGAGGCTATACTGAAAATCAGACCAGAAATAATTTCTCAGGTAAAAAACAAAGTGATGACCATAATGAAGGAATTGCTTAGAAAATCTAGAGTAGACATTAGATTTTTTAAAAATAGAGGAGCACAGGAAATTATGAAAACCTTGAATGAACAACGTAGGAAAGAAATAGAATGTATGAAACAGATTCAAACAGATAGACAGGAAATTAAAAATGCCCTTAAGGGGCCAGCCAGATAGCTCAGCAGACTAGAGCACCTGCTTAGGCACAGCACAGCGGCTGGAGTTGGGTCCCCGGCATGCCACGCTGGCCCCACCCCGGGCATGCTGAGACAGCAACTGAGAATGGGCATGGTGGTGCACACCTGTAATCCCAGACTTGCAAATCTTGAAGACAGTATCACAGCAAGCAATCACAAAAGGAAAGCCCTATTAAAATAATAAGGGATCACGAGCAACAATTCAATAGCTGTAAGATGATGCAAAAAAAAATAATAAGACTGGTAGGTGTCAATGAAAAAGCAGGAGTCAACACAAATGCCATAAAAAACTATTTGTAGAAGTAATAACAGAAAATTTCCCAAGCATGGGGACAGAATCTGACATATAGTTAAGTGGAGCATATAGAACTCCAAATAGCCATAACCAAAATAATTCTATTCCCAGACATATAATAATTAAGAACATAGAAATTCAGCACAAGAACAGAACATTAAAAGTTGAAACAGAAAAGAAACAGATCACTTACAAAGCAAAGCCCATCAGAGTCATGGCAGACTTCCCAACACAAACCCTCAAATCAAGAAGAGCTTGGAGTGAAATATTTCAAGTCCTGAAAGAAAACAACTTGCAACCCAGATTATGTGCTTTGCAAAAATATCTTTTAAAATTGATGGAGAAATAAGATAATTCCATTAAAAACAACTGAAGAAATTCATGACCACCAAAACAACCCTATGAAGAGTACTGAAAGATATTCTAGACAGAGATAAAAATGAACACAATTTCAAGAACAACAAGGGAAAGAAACCACAAGGTAGTGCAAGTGATTAAACAGAAGGAGAAAGCAGGGAACCAACAACATAAAAATAATAAGACAGGCAGACTCTGGCATCTCCGCGGCGGCTGTGGCAGCGCTCTTCAGGGCCTCCTCCCGCAGGTGTAGAATGGCAACCCTTAAGGAGAAGCTTATCGCCCCTGTTGTGGAAGAGGAAGCCGGGGTGCCAAACAACAAGATCACCGTAGTGGGTGTGGGGCAAGTTGGTATGGCCTGTGCTATCAGCATTCTGGGAAAGTCTCTTGCTGATGAACTTGCCCTTGTGGACGTTTTGGAAGATAAACTCAAAGGAGAAATGATGGATCTGCAGCATGGGAGCTTGTTTCTTCAGACGTCTAAAATTGTGGCAGATAAAGATTACTCTGTAACTGCCAACTCAAAGATTGTAGTGGTGACTGCCGGAGTCCGTCAGCAAGAAGGGGAGAGTCGCCTCAATTTGGTGCAGAGAAACGTCAATGTCTTCAAGTTCATTGTTCCTCAGATTGTCAAATACAGCCCTGACCGCATCATCATTGTGGTTTCCAACCCAGTGGATATTCTTACCTATGTTACCTGGAAACTAAGTGGATTGCCCAAGCACCGTGTGATTGGAAGCGGATGCAATTTGGATTCGGCTCAATTTCGCTATCTTATGGCTGAAAAACTTGGCATTCATCCCAGCAGCTGCCACGGGTGGATCCTGGGCGAGCACGGGGACTCGAGTGTGGCTGTCTGGAGTGGAGTGAACGTAGCGGGTGTGTCCCTCCAGGATCTGAATCCGGAAATGGGCACAGACAACGATTGTGAGAACTGGAAGGAAGTGCATAAGATGGTGGTTGAAAGTGCCTACGAAGTCATCGGCTTGAGTGTAGCTGATCTTATTGAGTCCATCCTGAAGAATCTCCAGGATTCACCAGTGTCAACCATGGTCAAGGGCATGTACGGCATTGAGAATGAAGTCTTCTGAGCCTTCCCTGCATCCTGAATGCTCGGGGCTTGACCAGCGTTATCAACCAGAAGCTGAAGGATGAAGAGGTCGCTCAGCTCAAGAATAGTGTGGATACCCTGTGGGACATCCAGAAGGACCTAAAGGACCTGTGACTACTGTGTTCTAGGATGTAGAAGTGTAGAAACTACCCTGTGACTAATCCTGAGCTTTCGCCTTCATCCATATCCACGGGTCACGGCTTGCTTCTTCCTTAATATCTGATAGGAGCCCACAGAATCAAAGCCCAGGCTTGGATTAATGCTTGCAGTGTGAGGTCTTGAACAAATAAAATTAACTATTGCAGTGTGAAAAACAATAATAATAATAAGACAAAGATAAGTCAGTACATGTCAATTATAACCATCAATGTAAATGGCCTCAATTAACAAATCAAAAGAAATAGGCTGGCAGAATGGATCAAGAAACAAGATCCAACAATATGTTATATACAAACACACACACACACACACACACACACATTTAACTTAGAAAGAAAATCAGGCTGTCTACTCCTGCGCGTCTGCTGATAGCCGTTCTTCCCATGTAGCCAGCGGCAACCCAGAGGAGATGGTGAAGGTCAGAGTGAACGGATTTGGCCATACTGGACGCTGGTCACCAGGGCTGCTTTTGACTCTGGCAAGGTCGATGTTGTGGCCATCAGTGGCCCCTTCATTGACCTCCACGACATGGTCTGCATGTTCTAGTACGATTCCACCCACGGCAAGTTCCACGGCACTGTCAAGTCTCAGAACGGGAAGCTTGTCATCAGTGGAAAAGCCATCACCGTCTTCCAAGTGCGACATCCCACCAACATCAAGTGGGGTGATGCTGGCGCTGAGTACACGGTGGAGTCCACTGGTGTCTTCACCACCATGGAGAAGGCCGGGGCTCACCTGAGGGGTGCTGCCAAAAGGGTCATCATCCCTTCCACCGATGGCCCCATGTTTGTGATGGGTGTGAATCGTGAGAAGTACGACAACTCCCTCAAGATCGTCAGCAATGCTTCCTGTACCACCAACTGCTTAGCCCCGCTGGCCAAGGTCATCCACGACCACCTCGGCATTGTGGAGGGACTCATGGCCACAGTGCACACCATCACTGCCACCTAGAAGACTGTGGATGGCCCCTCTGGGAAGCTGTGGCGTGATGGCCATGCAGCTTCCCAGAACATCATCCCTGCATCCACTGGTGCTGCCAAGGCTGTGGGCAAGGTCATCCCAGAGCTGAACAGGAAGCTCACAGGCATGGCCTTCTGTGTGCCCACTCCCAATGTGTCGGTGGTGGATCTGACCTGCCGCCTGGAGAAAGCGGCAACATATGACAATATCAAGAAGGTGGTGAAGCAGGCCTCAGATAGTCCCCTCAAAGATATCCTGGGTTACACTGAGGACCAGGTTGTGTCTTGTGATTTCAACAGTGACACCCACTCTTCCACCTTTGATGCTGGGGCTGGCATCACCCTGAATGACCACTTTGTGAAGCTCATTTCCTGGTATGACAATGAGTTCAGCTACAGCAACAGCATGGTGGACCTCATGGTCCACATGGCCTCCAAGGAGTAAGTGCCCCACACACACAGCCCAGCGAGACCAGAGGGACAGAGAGGCCACACTGTAGAAGTCACTACCTTACTCAGCCCCAACACTGAGAATCTCTCCCTCACAGAATCCATCCCAGGCCCCCTAGAAGGGGAGGGACCTTGGGATCCCTGACTCACTGCCCTTGCACATCATCAATAAAGCCTATTGTACCCAAAAGAAATTCATAGGCTGAAAGTTGAAGGATGGAAAACAATACAAATACCCTTCCAGCAGGAACCCAGAAAAAAACAGGGATGGCTACTCTGTAGACAATGTGAACTTCAAGCCAAGAATGATCAAAAGAGATAAAGGTCATTGCATACTTGTCAGGGGAAAAAGTCAAAAGAGAACAATCATAAATATGGGGTCTGAGATTTAGCTCACTAATACAGTATCTGTCTGGCAAGCATGAGGTCCTGAACTTGATTCCCAATAATCCAATATATATATTCAGCTATATAAGACAAATATTAATAGACATGAAGAATCAAAAATCAAATAGGGCTGGGGAGATAACTCAGTGGCATAAGTGCCTGCCTGGCAATTGCAAGGTCTTGAGTTCAATCCCTGGTACAAAAAAAGAAAGAAAGAAAGAAAGAAAGAAAGAAAGAAAGAAAGAAAGAAAGAAAGAAAGAAAGAAGAAAGAAAGAGAAAAGAAAAGTCAAATAAGTGACACAATTATAACAGGGGGGAACTTAACTCCCCCTTGTCACAAAGAGATATATCAACTAGATAAAAAATCAACAAAGAAATATCAGAAATGAACCAAACCTGTGACCAAACGTACTTAGTAACCTTTACATTGTGTTCCCCGCACAACATCAGAATACACATTCTTCTCAGTTGCGCGTGAGATGTTCTGTATACTAGAGCACATACCAGCCTACAGAACATGCTCGAGTAGCTGCAAAGGAGCTGAAATTATCCCGTGTATATTAATCTGAGCATAGTGCAATGAAATTGGGAATGAATGGCAAAAGAACCCTTAAAGGCTCCATGGATATGAGCAGTGTGAAGAAGCAAGGGTGACCCCCGGGCCACCAAAAGCTATACACTGCAGCGTCTCGTGTCGCACGCCTGTGACCCGCCACCATCAGCACTATACCCAAGAGAGAGGCCAAAGGGGATGTTAAAGGTGAGAAAGCCAAGGTGCAAGATGAACCACGGAGAAGATCTGCAAGGTTGTCTGCTAATCTAGCTCCTCCAAAGCCAGAGCCCAAGCCTAAAAAGGCCCCTGCGAAGAAGGGAGAGAAGGTGCCCACAGGGAAAAGGGGAAAGCGGCCGCCAGCAGGGATGGGACTAACCCTGCAGAACATCAGGGATGCCAAACAGAGCAGGCACACAGAGCTGAAGGTGCTGGAGACGCCAAGGGAAGTGTGGGGATTTTTGATAACTGTATGCTTCTGGCGACTGTAGTTTGAAATACTATTTTTTAATCAAGTTTTATAGAAGTGCAGAATTTTGTTTTACTTTTTTTTAAGCTATGTTGTTAGCACACAGAACACTTCTTTGCTGTTTTGGGGGGAAGGAGCATTTGTCAGCAGTGCAGTGCCTCCAAAGCTGGACTGACGTGGGGAAGGCGCCTTTCCCTGCTGGTTTTGAGAGACTTCCTCTTGGCTCCCAGGAGGAGGGATTCCCTGATGTTACACATGTGGCCACCTTGGCATAAATGCCTTGTGGTACGGGACAGCTCCCAGTTCATTTTATGTCCTCCTTTCCTCTGCCATCTGCATAGGCTTAACTCCCTGAAGCCCAGAGACCTGTTGGGGTTTGATTCCCAAAGGTGATATTACCAGTGTGTCAGGCAATCTGGACTTGCCAGTAACGTTGACATAGTGGCCCACAAGAGCAATTGATTTATTTTTCTAGATTGTGGATCTTCAGATTGGTAATTCTGCCATTTTCATTTCCTGAAAGTCAGGGTCGGCTTGTGAAAAGTTGTTAAACAACATGCTAAATGTGAGATGTCAACCCTCACTCTAAACTTTCCCTACTTCAGAGCCTCAAATGAAGACTTCATTGGATTTTATAGTGGTTTTCTGACTTTTGGTAGTTCATCCAAGAAGGGAGTTTGAAAGTTGTTACATACTGTTAACAACTGTGTGCCCGCCTTGTCTGAAATACCATTATTATTTATGAAAATTATCTTTGGCCGGGGAGATGGCTCAGTGGAATAAGCACTGCCCTGGCAAGCACAAGGGCCTGAGTTCAATCCCTGGTTCTGCCAAAAAGAAAGAAAGAAAGAAAGAAAGAAAGAAAGAAAGAAAGAAAGAAAGAAAGAAAGAAGAGTACCTTTAATAAAGCCAGATACAGTTTGGCTTGGAAAAGAAAAAAATAATCTCCATAAACATATGGAAATAACACCATCCTGAACAACGAATGGATCACAGAAAAAAAATTAAAAGAAATTAAATAATATCTACCATTAAATGAAAATGTAGATGGCTATGCAATACAAACAAAGCAGTCCTAAGAGGGAAATGTATAGCAGTGAATTCTCACATCAAGAAAACAGAATGAACACAAATAAACAACCTAATGCTGCACTTCAAGCTTCTAGAAAAAAAATCAAGCCAAGTCCAAGAGCCAGACAAGAAAAGAAATCACAAAAATCAGACCAGAAATTAACACAATTGAGACTAAGAAACAGTACAAAAAATTAATAATTGAAGAGTTGATTCTTTGGGAGAATAAATAAAATTGATAAACCACCAGCCAACTGTATCAAAAAAAAGGAAAGAAAAACTCAAATTCATGCAAAGAAGAACAAAATCAGTGAAATCACTAGAGACCCTGTGGAAATTCAGAGGATTCTCAGTACTTACTTTGAAAATCTTTACTTGCGTAGGATAGAAAACACAAAAGAAGGGCAGATTCCTAGATATGTATAAATTGCCAAAGGTGAATCAAGAAGATATAAAAACTCTGAATGACCCATATCAGTTAATAAAACTGGAAATGTAATTAAAAAGTCACCAACAAAGAAAAGCCCAGGTTCTGATGGATTCACTGCTGAATTCTCCAAAAATTTAGAGAAGATTTAATGCCAATACTCCTCAAACTCTTTAATGAAATTGAAAGGGAAGCAATACTCTCTAACTTATTCCTGGAAGCAAATATTACTCTAATACCAAAAACAGAGAAAGACTCAACCAAAAAAAGAGAACTACAAACCAGTCTCCCAAATGAATATGAATGCAAAACTCCTGAATAAGATGCTAGCAAATAGAATGCAGCAAATCATCAAGAAGGTTGTGCAACATTACCAAGTGGGATCCATCCCAGCAATGTGGAATGGCCCAACAGGCACAAATCAATAAATGTAACACACCATATAAACAGAGCTAAAAACAAAAATCACATGAGCATCTCAACAGATGCTGAAGAAGCTTCTGATAAGGTCCAACACCCACTAATGACAAAAACCCTATAGAAAATTCAAATAGATGGACTTTACCTCAATCTATGACAAACCAACAGCCAACATCATAAGTGGACAGAAAGTGAAAGCCGTCAGTTTAAAATAAGGGACAAGACAAGGATGTACACTGTCACCACTCCTATTTGATATAGTTCAGGAAACAGCCAGAGAAACTAGACAAAAGAGGAAAATAAAAGGAATAAGGATTAGAAAAGAATTGAAATTATCATTATTTGTGGATGACATGATATTCTACATAGAAGACCCCAAAAACTCCACCAAAAGACTTCTAGATTTAATAACCAA